GCCACCTGGGAGTGGGCGGAGTGGGCTCAATTCCGGGTCCTACCACTGACTCTCCGTAGAACCACCTCAGCCCTGGCTGTGCTGTCAGCTCCACGCATGGGGAGGGACCGAGAGCTGCCAGGGGATATTACAGGAGAGGGGATGATTCCCACCGGAAAAGAGTAGTCCCCGGTTGTGCAGTGTTCGGCTCGGTCCCCTGGGATCGTTCTCGGCCTCAGCTGGAGTCACCGGCCCCGGATGGGATGTTTTACAGGAAATATTTCCCACTGTTCCCACAGATAAATATAACGTTCTTTGCCTTGACCCTGTGGATCCTGAGAAACAGACTCTCTTCCCTCAATGCAGGTGTGTCCACCCTCAAAAACCACAGGTGAGAAGGCAACAAAACAATACTGGAGGGTCAGATTCCTTGGTTTGGACGGTCCTTGGCACTGGGAGGGTGTGAGGGATTGCAGGAGGGGAACAGCATATATAGGATCCATGGGAACGAATTCCCAGTGTGTTTGCATTGACAGTAACCCTGTCCCACACAGGGAAGCTGGGGAGGGTAGTTCCACCCCACTCTGCCCAGATCCTCCTGACCCAATTGCTCTCCATAGGGTTATTGTAACGGGATCTCTCCATCTGCCTTTAACCAGGTTACTGACCTTTAAAGCCATTGCCCAGCTCTTCGTTCTGGGCTGCACATGGAGCCTTGGTCTCCTCCAAGTCGGCCCAGCAGCCACAGTCATGGCGTATTTATTCACCATCGTCAACAGCCTGCAGGGAGCCTTCATCTTCCTGGTGCACTGTCTCCTCAATCGCCAGGTAACGCCCGTGCTTGTCATCAACCCCCCAGCACCTTCACCGGCCTCATGGTGGCCATGTCTGATCTGCTCAGAGCTAGTTACATAGTTAGAGAGCAGTGACTGTTTCCTTCACTCTCCAGGTGAGAGAGGAGTACAGGAGATGGATCAAGGGTTTCCAAACGTTGAGCACAAAATATCAGATGTCCGATTTATCCATGTCTGCTGTTCCCACCACCAGCACCAAGACGGTAAGAGGTCCTCTGCTCTGTTCTAATACCTGTCTGTGACACAGTCCTCTCTAGCTGGGTCTCATCACTGCTGTAAAGGTGCTTTGCCCCCCAAATGACTCAGGATTGGTTATGAGTCAGCTGGGAACATCACTGAAAGTGTTAGTGAGAGTCGGTCACTATCGAGGAGTATCCTAGATGTCTTAGGCACCTGAACAGAATGCCCTGTCCTGGCACCTCCGCGTTCCCTTCCCTTGGCTCTCCTGAGAGCTCCAGGGGTCACTCACTGTGGGCTAGGCAGGCATTGGCTCTTGCAGTGTAATGATCTGAATAGATCAGATTGTCCCCTGGGATTGAAACCTTGTCAGTGCAGACGGATCATCCCCAATGAGCAGTCAGCACCGTGAAGAATTTCCCTTGGCTCCATTATCCCTATGGCTCAGGATCCAGGAGCTTCGTGTGTCGCCTTCCAGAGACAACCTGCCACTCTGCCCATTACACTCTCAGTGGCCTTGGAACCTATTGTCATTTTTCTGCTTTTCTTGCCAGGAGTAACCCTTCTGCCAGGCGGAGTCGGCAGCAACCAGGGTCGGGTTCAATACGTAGGGGTTCCAATACAAAACCGAACCGGCTGGAGCCCCCTGTGATG